CCGAGCACAGGGTTCCTTTCCCCGTCAGTGGTGTATTTGAAGTGTTTTTCTGGGAGGAGGAATGTCTGCCTCGTGTAATCCATCCAGTCTGCCCCCCCCCCACCCCCCCCTTGTAGCACAGTTCTCATGAACAGAGCCTTTGTGCAGGCCTCGGTCACCCGCACATCTCCGCTGGAGATAAAACAGGTGCAGTTGCCCTCGCTCGGGGTTGTCGATTATTTTTCTGAGACCGTTGGAGGCAGTGTTCAGAATTTCGTTACACTGCAGATGGACTGTCGATTGGCAATCTGTGGTTTGGATGCAAGTGCCATGTGGAAGAGCATGGGTTTGGTGGGCAGAGAGCCCTGGGTTTGGAGGAGACCTGGCCCCCCCCAGCCTGAGCTCCATCCTCAGGCTTGCTGTCCGCCCCACCCCCCCAACTTGTTTCATCCCGCGTTGGGAGAGAAACAGCGACACTTTCCTCATGGGCCAGTTAGGAAGATGGTCTTGGCCAGGTGTTTCCCATCTCTGCCTCTAAGGAAGGGCCGATGCTTTGCTCGGTGCTGACCAGCACGCCAGGGGCTCACCTGCAGATAAAGGGTGCTGAGGGCGGCTACCTTACAGGGGACTTTGCAACGTGTATTCAGAGTACTTTTTATTGTCTCTCAACCGTAAGGCTAGGAGAGAAAGCAATGTGAATTACTGATTAGCAAAAACAGGAACTCTCGCACAGTACTGTCACAGAGAGACAAGATTGATTTGGGCAGGGGGCAGATGATGAAACGAGTAATCTTGAATTAGAGAATAAAATAAAATTCCTCTACAGCATCAGGGGTGATGTGGAAATGAGGCAAAAGATTCCTCTTCTGTTGGATAGACTCCAGCTACAGTCTTTTCTTTTAAAAACCTTCAAGTGCTATGTTGCTTCCTTTGGCAGTGGTTTACTCTGGTTTCCTGATTGTGTACAGAAATAACTGGGATTCATATGAAGAACTTCTGTTTCTCCCTCTAGATGAGTGTTATGAATGTATGGCATGTGACTAGTGTTATGAGTATGTCATGTGACTAGTGTTATGAATAATGCATCCTTGTGTTTTATATGTATACATCACTTAAATTGAGTGTGGCTAATAGGAATATTGGGAAATTTTCCATCTCTTGTCCCCAGTTTCCAAATTAAAGATACGAAATGATCTTCGTACCCACGCTGGTGATTGGAAATCGTGGCTGGGCTCTTACATTCCAAGCTGCCGTCTGATGAAACAGGAGCTGTGAAAACAGTGCCGCCCTGTTTTGTGAAAGCAAGTGCAAGGTTATGTCCTGGCAAATTTCAGATAAATGTCAACTTCTGTTTCTCCCTCTAGATGAGTGTTATGAATGTATGGCATGTGACTAGTGTTATGAGTATGTCATGTGACTAGTGTTATGAATAATGCATCCTTGTGTTTTATATGTATATATCACTTAAATTGAGTGTAGCTAATAGGAATATTGGGAAATTTTCCATCTCTTGTCCCCAGTTTCCAAATTAAAGATACGAAATGATCTTCGTACCCATGCTGGTGATTGGAAATCGTGGCTGGGCTCTTACATTCCAAGCTGCCGTCTGATGAAACAGGAGCTGTGAAAACAGTGCCGCCCTGTTTTGTGAAAGCAAGTGCAAGGTTATGTCCTGGCAAATTTCAGATAAATGTCATACTGGCAGGCGTCCGGTCTGTTGTCTTTTCCGCCTCCCCAAACTTCTAATTGAATTTGAACCACCCATTTTAAAATTCTGATTCTAATGTAATGTCTGTGATTTTGTTTGGTTTTCAGAAGCAAGAATCTTGTATCATCCTGTTAGGGTGTTTAGGGAACTCATATTGACCGATTCCTCTGACTTGTTATAGTCTCACAAATGGATCCCAATGTTGTAAACCTCAGAGGATGTCTGAATGGCAGAGTTTGAAACTCAAGTCATCCAAAAGAGAGTTTGGGGAATCTTACCTTGTTCTCTGTTTTGTAGAGACAACTGCATTTAATAACATTTCTCATTACTGGCTCAACGGAGTCTGCATGTTCAGGAAAAGATCTTTGCACTTGTCATTTTAAAATGTCAGATGTTTAAGGCATGTTGAGGCCCAGATAACGAGGACTCTTGAAATGAAAATTTAATTTCATATCTCCTTGGACAGGAGCTTGAAGGGGGAACTTGAAAATGACAGGCCTCATCTTTTGTTATTTCTCTAGTATTTCTAACTCCATTTAAAGAGTGCCCTCTAGCTCAGATGTTTATTGACTCTCAAGCCATGTATATGTGGATGCTGGCAGAGTCTTTAGAAATGGAGGCTGGGAGAGGGGAGACCAGACTGCATGATTGGGTCAGAGGTGCAAAGTGGGCAGGCACTTGGTGAGCGGTCGGGAGGCCTGGCTCCCCGTTCTGCGTTGGAAACGACCGAGTTGACGTCCTCCTGTGTGCTTGGCACTGTCCTAGCTACTGCGCGTCTCATCAGCCGTCCTAACAGCCCTCCCAGATACAGGGTTCTATTTCTCTTCACTGAGAGGGGAATTGAGGCTTACTCATGTGTCCAAGGTCACGGAGCTGGAAGTGCCCCTCCCGCCTTGTGACGTCAGATGACTCACGCTCATTGGATCCTAGCTGCCTCCTCTCTCCAAAGGGTTGGCGTATGTCATCAGTAGTATCTCTTGAACTAGAAATTTCTGTACTTTTCATAATTGTTTTGGGAAAAGGGCAGTTTCCTTCCATATTTCTTATCAGCAGTGATGACAGTTGGCTCTGAAACAGGCTCTAAGGGCCTCTGGGTTACAGTATTTCACAGACCCAGTGCCAGGGATGATGGGATACTGTTTGAAGGTCATCCAGTAAAGCTCCCCAGGGCAGAGGGGCAGGAGAATGTTAATGCTCTGGGGACCCCCATGGGCCGGGCTGGCCTGTGTTCTGCGTTCCTGTCTTCGGAAGCTGTGATGGAGGCATCGTCAGGGAGTAGGATCAATCCTTGCTGCCAGTGGTCCTTAAAAAGGGGTCGTGGTGTTGGGTGTGTGGCATGCAAGCCAAAGGATTTCTACAGCTGTCCAAGGACGGGAGGCTGGAGGACCCGAGGGCCAGCTTTAGAATTTTGCAGATACCCAGTCCTAGTACCATAAGGCTCTGTGTCGTCTCCACTTGGGTACGAAGGGAATTAACTAACATTATCTAGCAATTGGCCTTTTCCCTGCGCTCTCTTAGTAGAGTGCTTCTGTTGACTTTTATTGTTGTTGGAATTGTATCTGGGATGAATCTCTTTGATTTTATTTTTTGGGGGGACCAAAACAGAATATTCTGCCCCAAATATTATTTTATGACTATATATTGAGAGCTGTATCATTTTTATTTTCCAGTTTGTTCTTATCTTACCAATCTCTTTGAGGCTTTATGGAGTTCAGAGAAGATGCTAGGTTGTCTCGGTTCAGTTCAGTCACGTCCAACTCTTTGCGATCCCATGGACTGCAGCACGCCAGGCTTCCCTGTCCATCGCCAACTCACTTGCTCAAACTCACGTCCATCGAGTCAGTGATGCCATCCAACCATCTCATCCTCTGCTGTCCCCTTCTCCTCCTGCCTTCAGTCTTTCCCAGCATCAGGTTATCTACTTTATTTTGACATTATTTATTGGATGTCCTGATTATAAAAGTATTTGTTCACTGAAAAGAAGTCAGAAATCATCGGATAAAAAAGAAGTAAAAATGACCCACCGTCTCACTGGGCTGAGGTAGGAGCAGTCACGGTTTTGGCATGTCTGGACCTCGCTCTCTGCACACCGCCGTCCTGCTGGGGAGGCAGCTGCTCTGAGGGCAGAGCTGAGCCCGTCTTGGTGGTACTGAGTTCCCAGCACCTGGGGGCCCCGGTGCACGGTGCCCGCTCCAAAACGGTGTGTCGAGTCGTATGTGCAGTGCTGCCGGTCAGCGTGCAACCGAGGGGACCTCACCCTGGGAACTGCCCCCCAGGGGTGGGAGCTAAAAGAACAAAACATCCGCAGGAAAGAGGCACCACCCTCGGGCCTGGGGAGCCCAGGGGAGAACTGGAGTGGCCTGAACCCGGGGCCGTGGGCGGCCCAGCCAGGACGGTGCTACCCCCGCCGGGGGGGAGAGCTGTCCACTTGTGGCAGGAACTGCGCGGTGGGCTTGGGGCGGGGGCGACGCTGAAGGCCTGGGAGAGGCTGGGGTCTCTGGTGGTGCCAGGGCGACTCTGACCAAGGCAGGGAGGACGTCTCTCTCCTCTCGGCAGGAAGCTGGCCAGAAAGGGGAGCCGGGAAATGCAGTTTGTCGGGTGCTGTCCCAGCATCCCGGGGCAGAGGAGGGAAGGGGTGGCTTTGGAGGCGAGGAGTCAGCAAACAACCAGCCCGCCTGTCCTTTTAAAGAGTTCGATCTGGAACCCGGCTTTGCTCTGTGCTGCGTCCTCTGTGCTCAGTCCTGTCCCGCTCTTTGTGACCCCACGGACTGCAGCCCACCAGGTCCTCTGTCCACGGGGCTCTCCAGGCAAGAACGCTGGAGTGGGCTGCCAGGCCCTCCTCCAGGGGAGCTTCCCGACCCAGGGATTAAACCCACATCTCTCGTATCTTCTGCCTTGGCAGGCTAATTCTTTACCATTGCACCACCTGGGAGGCTCAGTTGTGCTCTGTTCTAATGAAATTTACATTTTTACTGCAAATAATACATCATGGGCATCTTTCAGTATCAGCAGAGACAGCTCTGCATGCTTTCTCTAGGGCCCCGAATCTGGAGTCAGATTCCAGCTGAACTACTCATTAGCTGTATGACTGGTCAGTTTATTTAATGATTTAGGCAACATTTTCCTCATTTGTAAAATCTACCGAATTGTGAGGATTTAATGAGATTATGTCTCAAAATATGATCACTTTACCCAGGCTGTGACAGTACATGATGGCGATAATAAAAATAATAATGACAGTTATCCAATCATTTCCACATGATGTTTAATGAATTTTTTTTTGCCTTGATGAATATTCATCTAACTACATCTTTGCCTACTTGTCTGGGTTTTTTCTGCAAAAAGTGGATTGTTGGCATCAAAGTCTTTGCTGCTCAAAGCTGGGCTGGTCATATATTGATATTTTACCAGATTGCCTTCTAGAACTATTACATCAATTTTTAATCTGACGTCTAATAATACCTGTCTCCTCTATACTCTCACCATCTGGATATGGTTATTCTGTTTGCTTTTCATCAATCTGCTGGGTTGAAAATGTTTGCTCATATTTGTTTGCATTCTTTTGATTATTGGCAAGTTTGAAATTGTCTTTCCGAGACTCAGGTGACAGCAGTTCCACTTTGTCATCAAGTACCTGCCGCCTGGACTGCTCACTGGCAGGTCCAGCAAGATCAGTTTTCTCAAACTCACTCAGCATCGCTTTTCTCCCTAGAGAACAGGATTAGGGGAGTCATGCCCATCTCAGGGGGTGACGGTGGGGGCTAAGAACGTACCAAAGTGCCCAGTCNGGAGTCATGCCCATCTCAGGGGGTGACGGTGGGGGCTAAGAACGTACCAAAGTGCCCAGTCAGCGCCAGACTTTGGGTAGCTACCCTCCCAGCTAACTTGTTACCTTCAGTTCTTCCTCCCGTCGTTGGTCTGTTGGTTTTAGAAAGGTGAGTTGGAGAGACCAGCAGCTTGAAGAGGGGGTTTTGAGAGACAGGGCATTGCTGAGTAGGGGTGAAGCCCAGCATGGCAGCGGGTAGCCGAGGTGGAGCGTGGGTGATGCTTGTGGATCTCATGCCCATCTGTGAACAGAGGCGCCCGTGGGCTTGGGCCCTGACATCAGGCAGGTTCAAGAAGGTCTGAGCCAGGGACGAAGGTTCCAGAGTCACCTCTGAAGAGGGGAAGGGGTGGGGCGCTGGGTGGTTGGCCAGGCGGTCTGTGGATAGATGGCAGAGTGAGCGCTTCATGTCAGCAGGGGACCCCGCGGTGTGGAGGTGGGAAGCCCCAGTCCGGCCCACCCGCCCCGGGGCCTGTCCTCTGTGCTGAGCCATGCTTTCACTGTGACCGGACGCGGGGGGAGCATCTGTAAAAGGATGAAGGTGAAGGCCATCAGATGGGCTCGCGCAGAGGTGGGGAGGGCCGGGAGTGGGGCAGGCCTGCTGCGGCTCCGCGGGCCCGCATGCTCCAGACTGGGTGCCGGCCCTGTGCTTGGTTTAACACCCTTTGAAATTTCACAGTTTTGAAAGTTTGGTTCAAAGGGCCCATGTTTTCATTTTCCACTGGGTCCTGCAAACTGTGTAAGCTTCCAGAAAGGACGTGTGGAGCAGAGGTGGGCCAGCAAGTGGACCCAAGTGGGCGTGGTCGGAGGCAGGGACCCCGGAGGCTCCGTGCTGGAGGCTGAGGTTTGCTGTCTCGGGATCCAGGCGGAGCCCAGTGAGCTTAGGCTGGTGTCGGCCCCGGGACTGGGAGGGTTTTCCTGGCGAGAGACAGAATGCTCTGCACTGCAGTGGATCCCTTCAAGAATGTAGTTGTACCGGCTCAGGTTCTAGAATGGGCTTCTCCAGGCTGGCACTGTTGACTATCGTGTGTGCTCACTTGTTCAGCTGTGTCCTGTCTCTTTCTGACCCCATGACCTGTAGCCCATCAGACTCCTCGGTCCATGGGATTTCCCAGGCAAGAATATCGGAGTGGGTTGCCATTTCCTCCTCCAGAGGCTCCTCCTGACCCAGGGATTGAACCCACATCTCCTGCATGGCAGGCGGATTCTTTACCCACTGAGCTATCAGGGACTGTTGGGCTGGGTGATTCTTCGATGTTGGGGGCTGACTTGTGAGACTGGAGTGGGGCCCGCCCCTCATGGCCTCATTTTAACTTAAACACCTCCTGCTAGGCCTTACCTCCAAATAGAGTCACATTGCCAGGGGCAGGGATCTGGGGCTTCAACATACGGATTTTGGGGTGGGGGTAGAGGAGGACCACACAGAGCTCAGCCACAGCTCTGATCTAAGTTTATGGTTCTGTGACAGTAGGCTGATGGACAGCGGCTTGTTAGGTCTTTCTTAGAAGAAAGGTGAGTCTGTATTTTGGCTGTTTGAAGATCTCATTATCAGATTGCTGTAAGAAGTTGCTAAGACTTTAAATGTCCCTTGACCTGATGATGCACTGCTGATGGTCTCACATGTACAAGGAGATGAACCTTTATCCTGAGTGCAACCACACAGATGCTTTCTGATAAACCTCATTCCAGCTGTATCATTACATAAATGGGAAGGGACAGAAAAGGAACACTGCACAGGGAAAAAGAAATGACATTAAAAGTGACATTTAAAGGACTTCCCAGGTGTCCAGTTGTTAGGACTCCACTCTCCCGTGACATATAGTCAAAGCTGTGGTTTTTCCAGTTGTCACGTACAGATGTGAGAGCTGGACCATAAAGAAGGCTGAGTGCAGAAGAATGACACTTTCGAACTGTGTTCTTGGAGAAGACTCTCGAGAGTCCCTGGGACTGTAAGAAGATCAAACCAGTCCATCCTAAAGGAAATCAGTCCTGAATATTCATTGGAAGGACTGATGCTGAAGCTGAAACTCCAGTACTTTGGCCACCTGATGCAAAGAACTGACTCATTTGAAAAGACCCTGATGCTGGGAAAGATTGAAGGCAGGAGGAGAAAGGGACGACAGAGGATGAGATGGTTGAATGTTATCACTGACTCAATGGACATGGGTTTGAGCAAGCTCCGAGAGTTGGTGATGGACAGGGAGGCCTGGCGTGCTGCAGTCCGTGGGGTCGCAAAGAGTCGGACACGACTGAGCAACGGAACTCAGTTGAGACTGAGCAACTGAACTGAACAGTTTACCGACTTGCCTCTCCTTTGACTCTACCAACACACAGTCTAGGAGACACCCATGCCAACCTCTTCCTGCTTCTAAATGAGATCTTGTCCCCTGCAGAGATACATTTTATTATACCTTTTGCAAGGCCTCTGCTATCCTTCAGGTCTATCTATAAAGAGCCTGTCCTGTTTATGAGGATGATTTTAAAGTTCTTAAAATTGTTATCAAATGAGAGACAGGAACCAACCATCCATCCACAGGATGATAAAGCTCATGATACAACTGGTCCATTCAGAGGGACCCTAGAGCCAGACCCCTTCCACAGCCTGGACCGGCTCATTTCTCCTCCTCCCTGCAGACCCCTGAGGGTGCAGAAGAATGTCAGCCACCTGCCCTGCAAGTGGCTGTTCAGAGCCATGAGATTCATGCATTTCCCACCTTGGACCGGTGCGCGTTCCCTGCATGATTCTATGCAGGAAGGGGTGCTGAGAAGCCGCAGGGCTGGCACGGAGCATCTTCCCGGAGTTCCAGTTCTTTGGCAAGTCTTGATGGGTACAGCAGTGGTTCTCAGAGTGTGGGCCCCCGCCCACCCAGCATCACCTGGCCACTTGGTGGAAACGCCCATTTTCAGGTGCACCTCACACCCTCCAGAAACAGAATCTCTGGGGCTGGGGTCCAGTGCTTTGCACTTACAAATGCCCAGGTGATTCTGAAGCTCCATGAAGTTTGAGAAAGAATATTATGTTAAACAAAGCATCATGCAGCAAAACGGGCAATTTGCATCTGTTCTTAAGACCTCCTATTTTCAGGGACAGGCGTAGTCCTCTCTGCCAGGGAAAACTTGGACAGAAAATGTGAGAAGCGCCAATGAAATTTCTAAATGCAGGGGGCCCCAGATCCACATCTCCGTCCCTAACCTCCCTTCCTCCTGAATCCCTGAGTCTCTCTCTCTTTCTGAGACAGCAATGCGGGAAGAAAGACTGGGATCTGTACTCCAAACTGAACAGATTCTCAGTGTTCATCTCCTTCCTCTGTTCCAACACCTCAAAGCTTCGCGATAACTTTTACGAGGAATCACTATGTGGGAGAAAACAAACCCAAACACTCCCAGCTGTTCGTCCAGCGTGGCGAGAGGAAGGGCTCTCAGTTTGAGTGTAATTCATGTCCACCGTCACCCGAGTAGTTTAGTGCTTTTTTAATTTCTCCAAAGAGCACTCATTAAACTTTTATAATGAGAAACTGTTTTCATGAGGAGGTAGAAGCAGTTTATGCCACCATAGATTCTTTTCTTTATGTCATCTCATATTTACCCAGTCTTGCTGATTCTTCCTGTCCCGTGGTATAGATGCTTTGATACTCAACTGCATCATATATATATGAAAAAATATATCTGAATCACCCCCCCCCAAACACCTGCTGCAGTATCTCATTCTCTTCCCGTGCTGACCCATCAGCCCTCAGACAGCCCTGGTCAGCATCAGCCCAGGGCTCTCTTGTGATCACAGTCCCCTGCTCCACCCTCTGACATTGTCCTCTCTCTGCTCTCAGATCCCACGGGCTCATTTCAAAACTCAGTCAACTCCGTTGCTATTCACACTTGTCCCTGTGTGTCCAATATGACTTAAAATACTAATCACCAAGTCCAGACCATGCCCACTCCCTATATACACGCGTGCGCACGCACACATCCGTACCACGGTGAGTGCCATCACCAGACTACAGCCTTCTCTCTCACAACTATCCCGTCAATGACAATGCTACAGTGACCGCTGGGTTTTCACGCCGATTCTGGACCTTCACATTTGGTGACCCTTCTCAGCTCTTGTGGTCAAGAATCCGTCTGCTATTGCAGGAGACACAAGAGATGCAGGTTTGATCCCTGGGTTGGGAAGATCCTCCGGAGGAGGAAATGGCAACCCATTCCAGTATTCTTGCCTTGAGAAGCCCATGGACAGCGGAACCTGGTTGGCTACAGTCCATGGGGTCACAAAGAGCTGGACCGACTGAGCCCGCGGGCACACACAGATACACACACACACTTGAGCACCTACTACATGCCAGAAATTTACATTCTGAATTACCACCACTCCTCCCGGACCTCCTGCAACAAACCGTGATGCAGAAAGGCATCAGAGCGTATGCAGGAAAAGCTGTGGCCTCCGAACGAACTCTGCGGAGGATGAGGAGGAGGCCAGGCGGGCCAGGCGGACGGGAGCCTGCAGAGCGGTCTTCAGGGGGCTCCCCCTCCATGTTTCCTCTGCCGCAGGAGCAGTCCCTTTCCCACAGCCCCGGTTCCAGCGGTGTGAACAGGAGGCATGATTTTCAGAATCATTTTGGGGAGAGCACACGAGGAATGCACATTTGGCAAAGAAAGGACTCCCCAAAGCCAAGGTCGTTAGTCACCAGAAAATGACACTCGGGAAAGTTATGAAATCCCCTGCAGAGGTTTTTTTTTTTTTAAACGCAGATGAGATTCTAATCTCTCTACCTGGTTGAGGTGGGGCCTATGCTAACAGAGTCAAAGTTCAAAGTGCTTTCGTAGCTGGAGGAGTCCGTGTTTACACTCATTTGCCTCGTGGAGGAGGGGGAAGGGGGCAGGGCAAGATCCCAGCCAACAGGGAGTCACTCTGACCCCCACCCCACAGAACCACGGCCCCCTCGGGTGGAAACAGTGCCCTTGGCTTTGCCGCCTGCCGACCCTGGGCACCACGCAGTGACGGCCGGCAGGTACAGGCAGGCCAGCTCACAAAATGTCAGTTACCTGAAGGAAGGGATGCTGGGCACCCATCTCAGAAAAAGCTTTCTGTGGCCCCCTCCTCTACCCCTCAGTAAGCAAATACTCAGAGCCATCTAGCCATCCCAGATCTAAAATGCATTTCCTTGGTCCGAATAATTGGTGCTCTTAATGTTCTGCTTCTAAGCACTAGAAACAAAGGTTTCCAACAAGTAGTTAAAATTTATCAGAACCATAAAGGATGGTGGCACCGGCCAGCAGGGGAAATAACAGGTAAATGAACGTACTGACTGCAGAATTAAACGGCACCATCTCTTCATGCAGAATGCTGTGCAGTTTGGCTATTTACACAGTGAAAGCGAAAAGTGAAAGTGTTAGTCACTCAGTTGTGCCCACTCTTTGTGACCCCATGGATGTTAGCCCACCAGGCTCTTCTGTCTGTGGAATTTTCCAGGCAAGAATACTGGAGTGGGTTGCCATTTCCTCCTCCAGGGAATTTTCCCGACCCAGGGATCCAACCCAGGTTTCCTACATTGCAGGCGGATGCTTTACCATCTGAGCCACGAGGGAAGCCCTAGATTTAATTTAAATCCTCATCAGCTCCTTCTAACAAGCAAATAATGAAGCATTAGAAAGTCTAAAAACTCACCTTTCTTGCAAAAAATGATCTAACATTTCTATTCAATATTCAGTATCAGAATCCTAAGGCCCAGGGTGGGGAGGGGGTGGAGATGGACTGGAAATTTGGGGTTGGTAGATGCAAAGTATTTAGAATGGATAAACAACAAGGTCCTACTGCATAGCACAGGGAATTATATCTAATCTCCTGAGATAAACCATCATGGAAAAGAATATTTTTTAATGTATATATATAAGTCACACTGTTGTACAACAGACATTGGCACAATGCTGTGTATCAACTGCGTTTCAGTAAAAGAAAAAAAAAAAGCTTTACCTAGATAAACTGCATAAATTACCATACCCAGTAAAGTTTCATGTCTCACTATAAAGTTTAAGAGAAACATTTACAAATGCCCATTTCTTTTTCCTTCAAGAAAACAAATTCATAATTTCCACAGTGTTCATCAATTTTAAATCTGTGCATTTTTCTAAAAAATTTTTTCCCCAAGCAACATCTCCGTTTAAGAAAATCTGTCAGACCCATTTAGTGGCTTCTTCACGAAAGTTCACACCCCTGAGGTCTGAGCAAAATCCTCTCAGGAAGAAGTAAACTAGGGCAACCGCGTTAGCATTGAAATCCTAGCGGAAGAATCTCGAGGTTGTGTCAAATTGCTGTGACTCTGGATGAATCCACAGAATTCAAAAATGCCCCAGGAACATAAAACGCCCTCCCCCTGGAGGAGACTTACCAAGAGGCATTAATTCCTTACATGCAAGCCACCTCCATGAGGCGAGTATACTGAACATTAAAGGTGAGTTAACGCTGGAGAACTCGAGGGCACTGGTGGTTCTGGAGAGCATGTGGAAGTGCCGGCTGCCCCCGACGGTGACTTTGCACCGCCAGCTGCCAGGGAAGAGGAGAGTGGCTTTAACTCACTCCCCGCCAAGTGCAGCCCAGGTAGGGCAGGCCCCTCCAAGGACCCCAGTGCCACCTCCTGTCCCATCGCGGCTGCGGAGGAACCTGCCCCCAGACACCACCTTCCAGACTCGCAGAGCCCCACACCTCACCTCTGCAAGGAGCATCATGACTGAGGCCCAGAGAACTCCGCGGTCAGTGCCTTTCCTGGGTAAATGCTTAGAGGGACACTCTGTCTTAGATGCAACCCCCCCCACCTTTTTTTTTTTTTTT